ATGCATCATACATGAAGTAAATATTAAAGTTTGTTGATAGAGATAAACTTTTTTCTATGAAGACTATGTTTTAAACGTAAAATCTATTATATATTTTATTATGCGATTCTGTGAGAACTAGCTGCAACTTTTGACGATGTCGCTATATTATCAAAGTTACATCCGTATTCGTTGGATCGGACGTAACTTTAAACGCGTCGGTGATGGTTCGGCGTCGTGATGGAGATATTACGTTGTGAGGCACGAAGCGAGACGAAACGAGGCAACGGCGTTCTGTGATGACGGGGTGAAAAATGAATAAACGAACGAGCGTTGCTTTCCTTCTCCCACTCTAACACGGTCATCCTAACTTCGTTAACCGGTAGTACACTGTTTGTACGGTAATCGTACGCGAGGCGAGAGGAACGGACAGAGGGAAAAAGAAGAGTGGACTGCCGCTATACCACCTTGCCCATGTCGGGGGCTCTTACGCGCTGTTTAACTTATCCATTTAAAACTCAAACACGCGAAACAATTAATTAGTAATTAACGCTAGCCGGTAGCCGGAGCAACGAAATAGAGAGAGGAAGACAGGTGAACGGCTAGGCAGGTAAGGAGAAAGGGCGTTTCTCTCAAAGGGCAGCCATCCTATCACCCTCGAAAAGGAGGTATTGAATGGGTAGCAAGAGGCTTCCGTGAGTGCAAGAAACTTTAAAGTTTGGAACTTTAGTTCTGCTGTTAGCTTCTAATTAGCGGACAAACAGCCAGCCCCGAGATACAGGCATCGCGTCTATTGGTGGCCTGGAAGGAAGAAATTGTAAACTAGATGACTATCTGCTCGTCCACTTTTCATCTGATTTTATCTGGTTACGGTAAATAATTAAAAATAAATCGAGAATTAATTCAAATGCATTCTGGTTGATTCACCGTGACTGTTATTAGAGATATTAACTTTAGTAAATGAGAAGTGTTTCCTATATAAAAATATTTTATAGTATATAGAAATTAAGTTATTGATATTTTGCTCAAACTTTTATCTACGCATATTCAAAAGAAAAACTTAACTTAAGAAGAACGAATTTTATCTTTTTTAAATTTTTTATATTATTATTGTTGTTCGTTACTCTAATCACATATTACTTATATCAAGCATAATAATTTATAATATTTCATTCACCGACGAAACTTAATGATCGATTTTAGAACTATCGAATGAGCGAGCTTCGTTCCTTTTCCCTCTTCGTGGTCCTTTTGCAGATTACCTGTCACTCCGCACCTGAATTAACCACTACTTGTCGACATTATGAAAACGTTGGGCGTTACCGCCTGCCTCGTGAGTTGGTAACGTTTACCTACGAAATGACAAACGCACTCATGCCACAAGTTTTGCACGGACGGCAGTCTCTGTATCGGTTCTGAATGGCGAGTCGCGGATTGGTCGGGGTGGGGGTTGCCCGGGGTGGTGAGTCGGGTCACCGTTGGTGCGAGGGTTTCAATATGCTTCGGCGGTAGTTACAGTACCCTCTCCGGACCACCGCAGATCGGTCTAGGCGGTGAACGGGTGGCAGGCGGAGAGGTGGTGAAGGAAGGAGGACTATCGTGCTGCGGTATCGGTCGCCTTGGTTATTTAGGAAACCATATCAAAGTTTGAGTTGGCTGCCTGCCGCTGCTGCGCACCCTCTCTATCGATGCCCCCGCCTCTGGACAATGAGGTCTCTTCCGGTCTCGTCGAGGTCGCCCTTGACGTTCGTTACAACGCCGAATAACGGTATCTGAAGCCACTAGCATAGCGATGGAGAAAATTCGCTGCACATTGTAGAAATTTGCCGCTCTCGTGAATGGTTTTCATCAGCATCAAGAATTTTCAGAATGGGAACAACTTATTCGACAAAATATTTGTACAAATTAAAGTAGTTCTGAGGAAATTTTTATGTTATATTGATCAAAGATTCAATTAATTATTGTGCAAGCTTTTACTATAATCAAAGACAAATTTTTACTTTATAATAGAGTAATACATTTTCTTTAAAATTGTTATCCATATTTTAGAAAGTAAATTCAGAGCATAACAAGCAAAACGAGAAATGTATGTTACAGTTTTAAGTTTAGATATATATTCACAAATACGAGTTTGATTAAAAGTTACTTTGTAATATAGAGATTGATCGAAAAATAACAGCAATGTTTTATTTTAGAATAACGATATTTTTTTATATAAAATTATGTTTTACGGAAATAATAATTTTTTTATGGAGGTGAAAAGAATTAATTGAAGTAAAATAATTTGTAGAAAATGGGATATATACACACACACACACACACACACACACACACACACACACACACTACCTTTTTTACAAATATATTATGTATATATATATATATATATTCTAATAAGTTAAATGAAAATGAGCAAATTAAAGAGAATTTTGTATGTATCACGGTCACTACATTCGTGCATTTCTTGTAGGCAATGTGTAGAGGACCAATGAAAGACGACGTGTTACCGCAGTGAATTGTAGAGCGAGAAAGGGAGGCGGTTCTTCTAGTTTCTCGCCAAGTCCGCGGGTTCTTCAGGAAGGGTCTAGAGATTTAATTAAGGCAAGGCGACGGGTAGAAAGACGAGTCGCTACGTCGTGTAAACTCGAGCCCACCCGGTGGTCCCCCGTTCACCCCTGTCTTCTGTCTTCGTCTTTGAAACGAGCCAAGTCAGTTACTCCTTCTTCATGCTATTCGAGAGGATCTCTCTCGAAAACTCGTGAGAACGCTGCACACGTTTAGAGCGTAGATCTTGTTCGGCCGAGCATGTGCGTCAAAGTTCGTCAGGCTACTCGGATTTCCAGCGTCAGAAATTCCCTTCAGGAGAGCCATGTCTTATTGCGACTTTCGTAAACCTTGTCATGATGTAAAGTCGTTTCCATAAATTAGTAAAATGTTTTATTAA